GACATCGATTACCACGTACAAAAATAACTTCTTTCTGTGTTGAGCAAGAAGAAGAGGAAACTGTTTAAATGCTGCAGTGTTTTTCTCATAAGTTAATTTTGGGTCGATTCCCTTAACATCTGAAATCTCAATAAGGCTTATAAATAAAGTACTGCAGTTTCAATTTTTATTTTTGCAAGTGTACGTGATGTATGTGCTTCATATTTCTTCAAAGATTCGTCCAATTCATCGGATTTTATGTTCTAAAATCTTCTAGAACATTATTTTGTTTTTACCCTAAAAATTCACCTTTTAACTTTTACATTCCTAAGACGTGCTTGTACCTACTGCAACACGATAATAAAAATAAATTTGTGTGGATGTGCAGGTGGCGTAACAGTTGTCGACGGGAAAAGAAGAAGCCAGATCAATGTTCAAATTCCGTCCGAGACATTTTGGAAAAGGCATGAACCCACCTCTTCTCTCCACGGGTGTAAATTAAATATCAGAGTAGCTTGAGCATTCTAGCTTGGGTGACAGCCACATGAGTAAGAGGTAAACTCCAATTTCAAACCGTAGAGAAACTAGATCACTATCTTTCCTAAGGAATCATGACAATTCTTAGATAATAAAGAAAAGGAATTTACGGAGAACCATGATTACCAAGGTCCATAAAGAGCATTTAATTTACGATGAGTGTCGAATGTACATTTTATATTTAGCTATGATTTTAACCAAAGTAGAATGATAATTTTTCTCAAGCAATGCTTAAAATGTGGATGCACACGCAATAAAGACATTTCAGAGGCATTTCTAAGATTTCTCTAACACCACTAACAAAATCTTATCATGTTTAAAATATGATAATGCTTAAATAAAAAAAATGAAAAATAAATATTCTAGATATAAAAGCGAATTAATTAAAAAAAAACTTTATCTGTAGTCATTCCTCTTCACCTAAATAAGGAAACGAATCAAAATTGTAAGCTAAAACCTGTTAGGTCATTCCATCAAATACTCCTTACAGTGTGAAATCAACATTAAACGTTAATAATCCCAGAAATGGGTTTTCTTGCCCTGTGGGTCATTTTATCTCTAATGTTTATCAAGAATCTAATTCACATATTATCAATACCACTATCAACTTTTATCTAATTTATCTACGTGTACACATTCATAGACATATGCTACATCATTATGTTTCAACAACAAAAATTCGACCCATTTTTTGCGACTATCGTCAGTTTGGTTGTTCCCTAGAATATGCTTTACTTGCATGCTGTCACGTAGGTTATTACTAGTAAAACGCTAAATAAAACACAGTTCTGATTTAAAAAAGAAAAAATAGTTGTAATATATTTTTGATGTTGATAATGACTAGTGAATTAGATAAAAACGCTAGATCTCCCAATTACAAAGAGTCCTTCCAAGATCTATTCCGGTTTCTGAACTAGTTCATTGTAATGTTGATATTGTTATCATTAACTAAATGTCGTTTTGGGAACAAAACGAAACTTCTGTTTCTATGAAGATATTAGAAGTGCGCATCATCATAAATACCGTGAATCATGAATCAATGATTATGGCTTATATTTTAATCGTTATATTAAAGAGGATTAGAAAAATCAATTCAATAAACAATTGAATGAAAACGTCTATATCTGTCATTTGTTTTCATACACATAAGCCTTTTTCTGGTAGAAGCGCATACAAAGGCACATACAAGCCTATACATACATACATACATACATACATACATACATACATACATACATACATAGACATACTTACTAATGTATGAGAAAAGGTGGAGGAAAGTTCTGGGTCCGATCAAGAAGAATTTCTGAGAGAAACCTCATGTTCAGACATTTGGTTAGATTTTCAACACTCTTCAGCACCTACATTACTTTTTATCATTTCACCACAAACAAGTCGATAATGCAACTAAGAGGCAAGAGCCTACTGGGAGTGAAAGAGAATGAGAAAACTTTAGGATGAACATGAAAGCCAATCCTAAACAGGAAACAAGAGAGTAACTCAGTTCGTGTCAAAAAAAAACAGGGAAGATTGTGAACCGGACGTCAGACAAACCTATTTAGTCCTATTGAAGGAAAAAGGAAAAAAATAACAAATAAAATTTTAGAGTTTAGGCGGAGACAATATAAGTATAGAGTTGAAATAGACTTTAGAATGAACCAGAAACCCAATCCTAAACAGTAAACAACAGATAAACCTCTACTCCTGTTCAAAAGGCTGAGGAGGAGTGTGGTGTACATACAAGCACACATAAACACATATATAAATGCATATACATGTATAAAGATTCAAACGTATTTATATAGACACAAACGCATACACATACACACAGAACATATATACAGAAGCAAATATACATGCATACGGACATAAGCATAAACATATACACACAGTCACATAAATATTATTTTACAATAGAAATGAAATGTAAATAATTTACTGCAGAAATACATTGTAAATTATTTTACTGTCGAATGCGTTGAAAATAAAGTAGAAAGGAAATTTCGGTGTTCAGGTATTAATCCAAGCATTGCTGACTGAATAGAGCTATTATATGTCTAATTAGAAGCTATTTACGTTAGATATTGGAAAAGTCTCCTTCTTAACTTCCGATGTTGGTATATAAAACCAACTCTATTAAGAGTTAATGTTGTAATAATATGCTTAAAAAATAAATATCAGTTTCGTTTCATAGGCCTCGGTCACACGAAAAACTGCTCAAATGTCTAAAAAATGTGCATTTAAAAGTTAAGCGACGAAAGCAAATATGACTTTTCTTGCAAACGGAAATGACCAATATTGGAGCTCACGTTTCCGTCTCGAAATCACTTCCGGTAACCGGGCCTTGCTATTCGACAGCCATTTTGTTCTACGTTGCCATTTATACAAAATTCCCACATTTGTTGCTCCTAGCATCCGGGTTAGTAGATCAAGAGAAGTGCTAGCCAGAATGTTGGTTCATTTTCTCTTGCATAAACGGACATTCTCAGACACTTTAACAGAGAAACTAAATGACATGCGCTCACGCAATATCATACAAATATAGAAAAAGTCAATACAGTGGAGAAAATATTGAGAGCTACTTATCACAGTCTCCTTTCTTTTTCTTTCAAATATACACGCAAGCATAAGCATATATTTGTTTTTGTTCGTGTGGGTATGAAGATTTTGATGTTTTCTAAACAATAACATTTTTCTTTTAAAAAATATGTAATTTCAGTAGGGGTAAAATTCTAGTTATGCTTCTCTCCTATAAAACTTTTCATAGGCGCAAAAGGTAAAAAGTACATTTATATCTGCCATTAAATTTATACAAATATTCCCATCGTCATATTTTGCACATAGAAAGTCAACTAATTATTTCACAGCGAGATAACGGTCATCCTTGTGTTACAAGTGCTCATCCTTGTGTTACAAGTATGGTGTATTAAACGATTAGGGACCTGAGATAGGAACATTGATTTTGTGAAAAAGGCTAAAATGTCATATAGACTGCGTTTTTTGCAATAAATAAGACTGATCCAGTTCCTGAATTACTATTATTTTGAAATCTATAGCAGTTAAATTTCAATGTAAAAAGAACATATTCTAATTTGTTTTGACATAAAAATAATTGTTTATAAAATAAGAGGATCGTTCAAAAAGTTCTAAACATCACGCAGAAGGATTTGGAGAAAGAGGACAGTTTTTCAATGTAATTCAATATAGCCTTCCCCCACCACTTGACATCAATGCACGTGGTCCAAAGATGCTTAAACATTATAATCCCATCATGAAAGAAGGTGACATCTTGGTTCTCCAAGAACCCCTCCACAGCACATCTTTCCAAAATGGCGACCACAAGGTTGGATTTGACTTTAGGAAACAGGAACAAGTCAGATAGAAGTAACTCTGATGAGTAAGGGGTAGCAATTAGTGATGGTTTAGCAATTTAAAATTACAGTTGGCTAGTTCAGCTACTGCAACCTGAGCAGAGTATAGGCGCATTATCATGGAGCAAGAGAACACCTGCCTCCAGCTTCTGTGTTTCGACTTGATTGCTTCCTTCAGCTGCCTTAATTCTGATGCATAGTAATGTCCATTAATAATTTTCCCCTTTTCCAGCTAGTCTATCATTATTATGTCTTCAGAAAAAAAAAAAAAGATCTTTTTGTCAACAGGCGATGCCTGCTTGAACTGGTGGAGAACCAGAGTGTTTACAGTGTTTGCTTTGAATCTTTGATTCAGGTTAGAAGTGGTGAACCAAGGTTTCATTTTGAGTTACTAATTTGCAGTGGAAATTCTCAGGCTCAGATTGGAAGCAAATCAGAAGTGCCCTGGAAATATCAACCCTTTTCAGCTTCTGCTCTGGTGTCAGCATTCTTGGGACCCATCATGCAGGCAGCTTACTCATCCCCAAGATCTCAGTTTAAACAGTATGGATCAAACCAGAACTAATGCCTATAAACTTAGCTATCTGCTGGACAGTAAGACGTCTGTCATCCAAAACCATGCGGTAAATGGCATCAACTTGTTCATCAGTGGTTGAGGTTATTGGACGACCTGACCAAGGGTCATCTTCTGTGTTGTTCCTGCCCTACTCGAATTCCACAGACCACTTCTTCATAGTTGCACAGAGAGGGCGGGAGGTTCTCAGCATGTGTCTGTACCATGTCCTCATGGATTTTCTTGGGTGTCAAACCTTTCTTTTGCAGATACTTTATGACTGGTCGGACCTCTATTTGTCTACTTTTAGATTTTCACAGACATCTCACATTTGTATGGGCCTCACCTACATAGAAATTAAGACAGAAGTCTGAATTAATTTTTCTAGTTTATAAGAAGTGGCAGCTTTTTTATCACAATAAAAATGATCAGCGATGGCTCTTCTTTCTGGGTGAGGCTTATAACTTTTTGAACGACCCTCATATCTAAATATCTAAAAACTCAATACTCATATTGTATTTCCTAAGTTTTTCACTATAAGACATTTTGATCGCTTCAAGCATCGTGTGATAATTGATTTCTCTCTCTCTCTCTCTCTCTCTCTCTCTCTATCTATCTATTTATCTATCTATCACATCAGTAGTAACTTTTAACGGTCACTGCAAATTAAGTGGCAGCAAAGCGTTTCTGTTTCTTTTTTGTAATGATGCTAACTGTATGGTTTCTGTTTTTTTCTTGGATTTCCAATTCTTCCAATCTCTTTGTAAGGCATTTCTGCATTATTTCAGTCACATCAATATTAAATGGAACAAATTCATGCCTCACAGCCTCTTTACTTACCAAAAGTTTTAAATATTTTCCACTCTTCTAAGGAATTTGTAGTCTGTTGGAATTTTTTTTCTTTTTGTTCCCGGTGACCAGGATTGAGTGATTAGTTGAATCTCAAAGTCTCAGATGATTTAATATGTTCGATTTTGTAAGACAGGTCTGTTCAGTGTATATAGAATTTGGTGGATGTTCAACTCCCAGTCGTTTACAGACTACCTTGTTCCCTGCTTAGGATTCTGGTTCTTTCTAAAGTCTACTTCAAAACTATATTTCTAACGTCCCTGCCAGTACACTGAATTTCTTTCAGTACTTCACATCTTGCCCTTTCTTATCTTAATACAACTTCACAGAGTCACCCTCTACCTTGCGTGTCTCTCGTGCCTTGTATTGGGTGAACATTAATATAAAATATAAATATATATGTAATTATGGGGGTATTAAAAATTTATCGACTAGACCAATATTTAAAATTCTTTTGTTTTAGCTTTCAAAGGTCTCTAAGGACGAACTACATCAGGGATAGAACTCCAGAAGTGCTTTTTACGGCTTAGCTGTGTCCAAAATTACTGGTTAGTGTAGACAGGTTGATAAACTTGGGTGTGTGCCTAAATGATATGAAGATTGAAACGATGAAAGAATGATTCTTGGATGGATGAGAAATAATTCGAAGTAAATTAATGGGGTATATGAGAGTGAATAGTAAGAAGGATGCGCTGTTTAAGTAGCCGTTTCAGCTTCCTTTAAGATCTTGACAGGGAGGAACTTTTTAACACCCTTTAATTCAACGACGCTGACGAATTACATTCGGACGCTGTCGTTTTGTTCTCATTCTTTCGAGAGGAAGTTCTTTGTTTCCGTTTGCCCCCGGTCTAATAAACGACACAGTGCTACTGGCACTGTTGTCTCATTCGTGGTTGTCATCGGCAAGACAAAAAAGAACGAGGAAAATAATGATAAATAGACGAAGTTATTATTTAGGGTCGGATGCGGTCGACGAGCGGAATAAAAGGTTGCTATTTGGTCGTTAGGCGTTTTTTCTTTACGTATAAGAATCATGAAAGATATTCATCAGACGAAACTAAGTTTGAAACAGGGCCACGTTTACTGTGCAACTGGGTGGATATGCACTAAAATGAGTAGCATTCATATACAAAATCATTATGCAATAATTTCTATATCCGCAATGTTTGTATCTATAAACTCGCACTGTATATTACGAAGAACCCTTTTTCATATAAAAATACGGTAAAAATATAGTTTTGAGGTAGATGATATTTATGGATAAAAGTAACCGATATCAGGGATAGAGGGTACTGAGGTCACCACCGAGCGGAAGCATTCTGGCTCATGCTTGAACGCAACCTTCAGGCGATCTTTTATATATATATATATATATATATATATATATATATATATATGTGTGTGTGTGTGTGCGTGCGTGCGCCCGCGTGTGTGTGTGTTTAAGTTATCTGGTTTTGATTTTGCCGACTGCACACCATACTAGGGTCAATTGGGCACCGTCTGTGTGAAAAATAGCACCATGACGCAATTCACTCGGCTAGAAATTTGGAAACTGCATGCTGTATTGCTTGGCATACGCGCCAGAAGCGCCAATATAAACATTTTAAAGTGTTTATTTGTCAATCTAAGGACAATGCAAAGGATTCTGAAAGAGTTGGATGAGTCTAATGGTAATTACGAAGGTACCGTAGATCGGAAAACACACTCTGATCGTTCTGATAAGAAAATAAATCCCGTATTTTTTGTGAGGGTCTCAGACTCAACACGGAGACCTACATCAAGTTCCTTGTGGAGGTAGCTTCAAGAGTGTGGCTGCTGGAAGAATCTATGTCTGACAACAGGACTCTACTCCATGCCACACAAGTAGGAGGACCCAGTCATGGCTGTCAGATAATTTCTGCGACCACATCACCCGCTTACATTTGGACAGCTATCGGCGGCATTATACATCAGAAAGCATCATCCTAAATATAGTATCTCATTCTTATCTTTGGTGGTTTAAGAAAACCTTCAAAGATAAGAATACTGATCTAAAAAATTCGTGGAATAAAGATAATTTTTCATATTAAAATTTGATACGATGAGAAAGGCCGAAGAAAGCATCAGCCGAAGCAAAGGAGGGTGAATCATTTCGTTTTGTTCGATCTATGAGTTTTAGTTTAAGTGCATTCACAAAGAAGATGGTGTTAAATAAGTATGTCCACTGTTTTCGCGGAAAAACAGCATAGCGTAAATGAAAAATGCCACAAACTTAAAGAAAATAAAGTATTATCGTCAAAATGCTTATGTTATTATTAAGATGAAAGAAAAAAGTATTTTTTAATTATTTTTTGAAATTTTTTAATATTTTCTAGCACGTTCGAAATTTTGGTTACAGTCGTCTTTGTTTACGTCATCGCGATGACGTTTAAAATAACATTGTTTTTTTTGCGTTTTTTTCCCGTTGAAAACATATTGATTTGGAAATTCTTGTAAAAATAAAATAATTGTCCGATCTTAATGAAATTTTCAGGACTTATTCACAAATGAATGAAATTATTTTTGAAATATTTTGTTTTTAGAAAATTTTGGTAAAAAATATTTTTTTTAAATATGTTACCCCCCACTTAGTTAATTTCATGAAATTTCGCCCAAAACCTTTTGGCTCCTCAATTTTATTTTTTTTGTTAAAAGAAGGAGTCTTTGGAGATGGTAAATAACCTACTTTTTTTTTTTCAAATTTGAGCTACTTAACTGAAAATCTTGTCTGAATTGAAAAATAATGAACCCAATAAAACTATGATATTACTTAATTAGAAAAGCTTTTAATTGCTTTTGTAAATAAGTAATATTAAGGACATTATTGTCTGAAGAAATAATTTTTTTCTAATGAATAATTAATTTTTACAAGAATTTTTTCGTTTTTTAAGAAATTTTAATTATAATAATTTATAATAGTTTAACATCGTGTAAAGCTCTGTATTAGGAGGGATCCTCAATATTATGTAGTAATTAAGTAGAAAAAGAATTTACGAGTCCAAAATTGCTAAGTTTAATAAATTTAGTTGCGCTACTTTTTTTAAAAATAATTTTTTATGCTGTATTTTTTTACTTAATACATTCCTTATTTCCATGTATGATATACAGAAATTGCCATTATTATAACAAGGTCACGTGATCTAAGGATTTTGTCCCTTTACGTGGCCTTTTCAAAACATTTCGTTTCTTAGAGGTTGTGCTTTCCGTTCAGCTTTAAAAGTGTAAACTTTAAATTTTAAATTATTTTTTATTTTTTTCATTTACTATTTCACTAAATAATTTTATTTTATGTATTGTATTTCCATTAGTGTGTGTCATACTCAAATAGAATATTTTTTTTAAAAACTCAGACTTAAAAATTATGTCATTTATGGTCATCAGTAGTAGCTGTCATCGGCTCGTCAATCAACCATCATCAATAGATCGAACAGATGAACAGGACCGCTCGTTAATAATTGGTTGTATATTATTTTTTTATGCTATAAGTAACAAAAATTTCTTTGAAATCAGATTACTTTAACTTTAAATTTTTTAATTTTACTAAAATAACGTGTCAGAATTTTTAAAAAATATTTTAAAAATCGATAAATTTGTGTTTGTTTACAAATTTCTTAAAATTAAGAAAATGGCCGTTTTTAAGAAAATTTAAAAATTTGAAATTAAATTTGACAATCAAATGTATATAGTTTCTATCTGAAATACACCAGAAGTGTTTAATTAATAGAAATCGTAAATTTAATTATTAAACTTTCAATTAAAGCTAAAATGAAATCTTCAAGAATGTTTTTTCGTTGTAAAAAATTCATTTTAAACTTCAATATAGAAAATTTATGCCGAAATAGTGGAGGTACTTAGTTTTAAAAAATAAATATTTTTTGGATAAAATAAATGCTTCTTTAAAACTCAGGCTACAGATTTACTGATGTACTTGGATAGAAATAAAACCAGCAAAGATGTGGATATAAGTCTGAACATTTCATTGAATAATGGTACTGATATCTTCCAGCAGTTCTCACAATATTTAGACATTATCAATAAAAAATAAAACGTAAGTTGTTAAAATAAACGACAACCGAACAGTTAAAACTCTTCAAATAAGAAATTGGCAATTAAATCACATTTTAAATAAAAACCCTTCGGCTACTTGATAATGAGACAATATTTCATGAATGAGTTAATAGTAGTAGTAGTAAAATGGAAAAAAAAAAGTTTTATTATACTGCCCAGGAAAATATTGATCGATTCCTGGATAACATTTCTTGCAAATCAGCCATTATTTCACAAAAGCAAATAAGAAATTAATTTTATTTCTTACTTAAAAACCACAATAAACCATACAAATATTTACTAAACTTGCATTAGTTTGATACAAGGCCGAACATAGGAGGACGAAGAATGCGAAGATTATGTCATGCTACCAGTTCACAGATAAAACTGAATATTTACCACAGACACAACCAAATAAAAAGAGAGTCGTGCAAACCAGTTCGCCAGTGTAGTGCGTTCAATCCTTATTTCTAACCAGCGTTAAATTCTACATGAAATTCAGCAACCTAGATTTACTCGAACGTTCGCTACTATAGTTAGATTCTTACTGAATTTTTTAAGTTAAGATAGCTATAGATAACACGATGAGCGTCACGTTTTTAAAGTCTTGCTTGAATATGTTTGAAATTTTCATAGTTTTAATATT